CATCAGAGGGACAAAAAACACCGTTTAAGCACGAAGTCTCCAAGTCAGCTTGCCAAGCATCACTGCCAGCAGAAAGCAGGCAACAACTGCAGAAGGTGAAGCATGTCAGAAGCGGGTTAGTACTGTTGCAGAACCATGCTGAATCCTTACAGAGAGCTTGCGACATCTACAGCGTAGCCCACATTTACAGCAGGGCCCACAGCTCTGACTCCAGCAACACCCGCAAGAGCTGCACCAAGCCCTCCTGACACAGCAGCTGCTGCTGACCTCAGTTCCTCAGCTCCACAGAACAACTACAGACTACTGAAATCCCCCTCTCCCTCCTGGCAATACAGTGCAGCCTGACATAACAAGCTTTGCAAAACTGGTTTCAGGAACACATGAACTCGCAGCCTCGAAACACCATGTCATGGCAGCGCTCTCTTCAACTACCGGCTAGAACATCCAATTTACCACTCAGCCACAACTTCATTCCCTGCTCTGTTGTTAGAAAGCATGCTGGTGGGCAAGAAATAAGCACATGCTCTTGCTTCATCCTTAACCTCCAGATCAGACTTCGCCCGCTGGCCATCCTACCTTTGGGCATGTCCTTGGACAAGGCTTTTATGTAATAGGCAGTCTGCTCCCGCGAGGTGTAGCCATTCAGGTGAGCACCCATACTCTCCACTTCCTTCTCAAAGGCAGCGCCAGGACGCTTCTTTGTGCCCTAAAGAAAATATATAAATGCAGTTACAACATGAACAGATTTCCCTCTCGGGCAAAACTAAAGTAAAGAGCAATGAAGACCTAAAACAGTAAAATTTGTCACATGATTCACAAAAGCCAAGAGCAAGTGCAGAAAGCAAGAGATTTAAAACTTGGCTTATTTACTCTAGCTAAAGGATACCCAGGGAACTACAGGCCGGTCAGCCTCACCTCCATCCCGGGAAAGGTGATGGAGCAGCTCATCCTGCAGGTCATCATCAAGCAAGTGGAGGAAAAGAAGGTTATCAAGAGTAGTCAGCATGGATTCACCAAGGGGAAATCATGCCTGACCAACCTGATAGCTTTCTACGATGGCACGACTGGCTGGGTAGATGAGGGGAGAGCCGTGGATGTTGTCTACCTAGACTTCAGCAAGGCTTTTGACACAGTCTCCCATAACATCCTCCTAGGGAAGCTCAGGAAATATGGGCTGGATGAGTGGTCGGTGAGGTGGATTGAGAACTGGCTGAATGGCAGAGCTCAGAGGGTTGTCATCAGCAGCACCGAGTCTAGTTGGAGGCTGGTAACTAGTGGTGTCCCTCAGGGGTCAGTACTGGGCCCAGCCTTGTTTAACTTCTTCATCAATGAGCTGGATGAAGAGTTAGAATGTACCCTCAGCAAGTTTGCTGATGACACCAAACTGGGAGGTGTGGTAGACACGCGAGAAGGCTGTGCTACCATTCAGCGTGACCTGGACAGGCTGGAAAGTTGGGCAGTGAGGAACCTGATGAGGTTCAACAAAGGCAAATGCAGGGTCTTGCACCTGGGGAGGAACAACCCCATGCACCAGTAGAGGCTCGGGGTGGACCTGCTGGAGAGCAGCTCTGTGGACAGGGACCTGGGTGTGCTGGTGGATGACAGGTTAACCATGAGCCAGCAGTGTGCCCTGGCTGCCAAGAAGGCCAATGGCATCCTGGGATGCATC